AGAATTAACAGACACGTTACCACTCGGGGAGGTGGGGAGGTGTGCTGAAAACAGAAGCAGACCCCGTGACACCACACCAGAGAAACCCCACCAACTCCTAATAGTACCCCCCCCCCGGGGCTTATCAGGGTGCCTCCGGTAAAAGTCAGCAATAAGCTCAGGGTCCTCAATAAACGAACTCTGAATCCAGGACCGCTCCTCAGGCCCGTACCCCTCCCTGTCCAGAAACAAGTGCAGCCCACGGCTTTGGTTGCATGCTTCTCATTCTGCTTTCTTAGACCGTATTTGGTTTTGCCCTCGTACCGAAAATAACCGCTGCTTCCATTGTTAGAGCAGAGAGTAAAGAAATGATCTGGAGCTGCACAGATTATACCCAAATTTGTATTCTGTGACATGTTCAGGTCCTCATTTTATTTCAGGTAGGTTAGCCTTTCTTTGAAGGGTCCCATCACCCGCAGCGCTGCAGGTTTTAGTGGCGACAAGTGCATGGCAGAATAGGACCTCTGAGCAACTGCTGATTAGTGTGTGTGGTTCAGCGGACAAAACTTATCAGTCATAGCGAAAATGAAATGCTGTTTGGCTAGTGAGCAGGTTTCATTTCCCACCCCGGAGTAAAAGCCAGCAGCAGGCAGACTGCAGGATTAGTATTCAGCTGGCTGTGGACAACAGAACCAGTGTGCTGGTGTTTGCCCTGTGGCTGTTGTCTTGCTGTCAGGTTAGCCAATGACACGTCAGAGCTCACCTCTCTGGCCTCAGCAGCCGATGGCTATAATACACTTCGCCTGGCTCTTTTTCCGCTTTCCACTCTGCCACTTAAAATAGACGGCATCCATCTTTTTTTTTTCTTTTTTACCCGAGACACTCAAGAGCTTTGCACACAGTATTCTTTTTTGCCAGCGTTTTAGCGTCTTCTGTTATGTCATCAAACTTTGGACTGCCTTATTATGGACTGAGCAGCTAAACTTTTTTAAATTCAAGCTAGAAGTGAGAAAATTCCACATTTCTAAATGGAACAACATTGAAATATGCTCACGATGTTCTCATTTTAGAATGCATTTGAAGGTAAAACTGCGATATAAGTAATCTTTTACTCTAGAATAAATGTCTGTCTGATATTTTTGCCTGAAATTAATCTTGTTTAAAGTAGGAAAAGCATTAATAGCATCCAGAAAATGTGAATAATGGCATGCTGACACTCTTTCTAAACATCGGGTGCTGTGAAAAAGTGTTTTCCCTCTTCTTGATTTCTTAGTTTGTTGCACATTTTTCTTAAAAAATTTCAGATCATCAAGCAAATTTTAAGTACTAGTACTGGACATTCACTAACATGGTATCAAATATCATAAGAATCCATACCAAATGATCTTTTTAAAACATTTTATTTTATGTTTTTGGAGCTGTAGTTTACAATCTGTTCCATAAATCCCTGTCAGTGTCAGAACAATACTTTCTGCTGTTTTTAAAATTCAACTTAATTGCAGCTGAATACGATGAGTTTGATGAAACTGGTGATTTTAACCTGAATATTTGGTAAAATGTTAATTAGTTTCGGGTCTTGTTTTAAAGTGACTTTTTGCTCATCGCACTAATTAAATTCAAACGGTTTTGTTTTCAGGAAACTGAAATAATCATTTAATGTGTTTAGAGGGTCAGTATTTTTTCCTTCGTAAACTTTCAAACTTTGATTCCGTCACTTTTCATTACACGTTAGATATCTGAGGAAACTGGATAAAAGAAATCGTACTGGTGAGTTCCTGCTACAAAGTTGATTTAGATCTTTCCCCCATTAGGTATTTTTCAGCAGAGGGAACCTCCCTTGAACATGCCATCAGAGTGATTCTCTTTAACCTGCTTTACCTGGCTCGCTCGGTGCTCTTAAAAAGCATGAAAATAACCGAGACAGATCTCACAGGAAGTAGCAATCTGCGCTGATTTGAATTAATCTCGACACAAGAAACAGTAATGTTAATGCAACTGTGTTGTTAGGGCAACATAAACTTCCTTGTACTTAATGTGTATGTGTGCACCGTTGAACCTGAAGGGTGCAGTAATGTAAATTTGTATCCGTAGCGTAGTAGGGTTAAGTTTACCCCACTATCAGTTGTCTGATGTTTTGTTTTGTTTTTCATGTGTTCAGTACTTTGTGTCATTTTGTTAAGGGTATTGCTGGAGTCTGCTACACAAAGGCAAACAGATGCTCCGTTTAGATCACCATCTTCTAACTGTACAGGAATTCGCATAAATATAACCCCCGAAATCCGTAATCCGTTGGCTCAGAGTTGCTTTTATTGAGACGTTAGTGAAGGTGAAGTGCGATTGTCACAGGTGGCTTTGGTGAGGCAGCATCTGCTGGTGAATATTCTTTTCTATTTTCATTGAAAGTGAGAGATGCTGGTGTGACGTATGGGTTGAGGTGGGAGCTGAAGCTTGACTAACTTTCCCAGCATCCCTTGCAGAGGTTGAGATCAAATGAAGCACATTTCTCTGTGTCTGTCTCCGTCTGCTTCTCTTAGTGTTTGTCTCTCCGGTGTTACTTTCGATTCCTTCAGTCTTTGTCTCTTGCTCCATTTTCTCCTCCTTAACTCTAAACTTATACCATTGTTTAGACTTCAGCTTACACTTTCCAATCTGTCTGTGTTTCACGTTGTCTTTCACCATCACTGTCCATTTTCTTCATCATTGTCTTTCCTTCTCTTCTTGTCCTTTGTTTCTCTCTCCTTTTCCCTCCCACCCTGCTGAGCAGGGAAGCCTTTGATGTGAAGCCGATATCTATTCATGCAAGTCATTCATCAGCACCGTGTTGCTTTTAAAGCAATGAGCAGGAAGCCAGATCAATAAGATGGCTGAACGGATGGATCTCTTAAGGGGCTTCTTCAGCCCAGAGAGATAAGGGAATCTTTTTTTCTTCTTCTTTTTTTAAATAAATGGCACTTTAAAGAGTCACACAGGGTGGGCGGGGGCTCGGATGGGGTCGGGAGCGATGAATGAAGATCTGACGCTTCACAGCCACTATTAAAATAGGCAAAGGCATTTAGATGGAAAAAGTGGTAGAACGTTGGAGAAAACCCTGCGAGGGGTCTGACTGGAAGGCCCTGTGTCTGAAGAAGTTACGCTTCAATGTGGACTAATTAAATCCACTTCAAAGCCCAGAAAGTTTATTCACAAATATTCTTTATGCGATAAACACTAGCAAAAAAAACTACACTTGAGACAATAAAGCATAAATGTATTTATGAAAGTCAAAGCCAGGAGTTTTCAGTCTTTCAGACAGTTAGCTCTGAGCCCATTAATCATTGAGGACTCAGTCTTGTGTTGAATACTGCAGTACATAGAGACCTGGAGGCCGATATGCCACGGTGTAAACTAGAAACACGGCTTCACTTACTTTGTACTGTTCTGTATTTTTAAATTAGATGTGACACATAGTGCCATGAAGCTTGCCAGCTTTGTGTCTCTGATAGAAATGCCTTTAGCTAGGACAAAACACCAGAGTATGCTCCTTTTTTAAAGTTCTAACCTATGTGGACTTTTAAATTGACCCATATATGAAAATAAATTACATGAGACTTAATATTTAATCTCACGTATCTCTTTTCTTAAGGCTAGATGGGTTTTTTTGTCTTTTTCTCCTGTCCTGGAGGAAACTGTGTCACGAATCACTCATATTTAGGCATTTTGCCATCGTACTTCTGATAGCTTTGACTGAAGATCAGCAAGAGCCGTGACAGGCTGAGAGTGAAGCTGAGTGCTAAAGATGTTGTCCCTGATGTGTTTACACGTGCGCGCGCGCACACACACTCACTCCATCTTGTCTAAGTACACGTCTGGAAGCCGGGGAGAGCAGACGCGCACACACACACTGATGCTAACAAACCATGTCACCCAGACATGTCACCACAATCATCATCACCTCAAGGTGTTTTTCTGTAGAGCGTAAATAGCACTAAGCGTTTTGATTCTTTGTATATTTTATTTGTGTGTGTTTGTGTGCGCGTGTGTTGAGGGGGGAGGGCGGTTCTTGAAATGAACCAAGAAAAACACATTATGTGTTCAAGAAAAAACATGAAAAAACATTTCACAAAGTGCTGAAGAATGAAAGGAAGCGAGTGTAGAGTAAAACAGAACAGAAACATAACAGGATGACAAAGATGGTGCTTGATGCCAACACTTGGAGCTCGAGGGCATAAAATGGAATGGTGGTTGAAGACCGTGTGTGTGTGTGTGTGTGTGTGTGTGTGTGTGTGTGTGTTGTTTAAAAGTATTTAAGCAGAAAATCATCATGTGTGACCACCCTCCTAAACAATCTGAAGAAAAGCGCAAAGTGTACATCCATTTTTTTTTTGCTAACCTTTTGTTTTTTAGCTTGTTTCTTTTGACGTTTAGCACGATCACTTTGTATCCCGTTAAGAAGTGACATCATCAGCTCTTTTTCTATAGCTGAGAATGTATCGTTTTGATTCTTTTGATCTTGGAAAAAAAAGGACTAATTCCAGTAAAATGAAAATTTGTGTAACTTTGTCAGCTGCCCATATTTGTCAAGCAGTTTTCCTGGATTTCCAGTACAGATGGAAAAGGCTGCAGTGACGTGTCAAATTGACTTCAAAGGTTGTGCATATTGTGGCAGATTCATCACTTATGATAATTAATGTTACCCTTCGAGTTTCAGACCTGTCGCTCTTTAATGCTGTTCAGTGTGGGCTGGCATCACCTCGTTTTATTTTGCTTTATTTTCCTCCCCTACTTGCTGTCAGTTTAAAATGCACACATGTATATGTTTGATGTCAAAAATCTGTTTGTTAATATATTTATCGGTGACAGAAAATAAAACTCGCAGTCAAATACTTCTTTCCTATAAAGTTAACATCAAACCATCCTTATAGCTTTTGATGAGAAGACAAAAGCTTATAGGTTTTGTCTTCTCATCGCTTCATTTATCTGTTTTTATTTCTTTTTTTAATATATTTTGGACTCATCTCTTCCTCTGTCTTTTCCACCCACAGCTGCTTCCTGTCCCTGCTCCTGGTGGCCGCCGTAGTTTGGAAGATCAAACAGAGCTGCTGGGCGTCACGGCGGCGAGAGGTAAGCGTTTGACTCCATGCTTACAATTGATTTTAAGCTGCCACACTCACATCAACTCATTTCTGGTTAAAGTTATTGCTGCTGTAAAAGTTGCTTTGTTTTGTGGATTTTCCAGTGGAATAAATATATCAAGTTCGTTTTTGTCCACAATCACAAAGAAGTGTGATTGCGTTGATTCTGTCATGCACTATATTGCCAGAAGTATTCCCTCATCCGTCTTCACACACATATAAACTTGAGGGACGTCCCGTTCTTAATCCATAGGGTTTTTTTATGTCGGCCCAACTCTTCTGGGAAGGCTTTCCACGTGGTTTAGAAGAGTGTTTATGGGAATTTCTGGACATTGTTCCAGAAGTGGATTTGTGAGGTCAGAAACTGATGATGGACTGGTTTGCGGTCTCCACTCTTGTGTTGGACTGAGGTCAGGATCCTCTAGAAACTGTTCTAGAGGTTGTCAAACCACATCTGTATCGATATACATACTGAGCTGTCAAAATTGATCGTGAAGGATACAGGGGAGGTCGTCTTTATAGGGGAAAGAGTTGAAGCAATCGACACTACAGGCAACTTTCAGGCAACGCTAAACTCTTGGCTCCTTCTGGTATTATCAATGTGCACACTAAGTCATTTGAATCACAACAGCCCTGCAACCATTAAGTGTTTGGTTGTTGTTAATGTATTGAGGCAGACATTCATCAGTGGTCTTTCATAAAGCAGCAGGTATTAGCAGTATTATGACTCCAGTATTTAGAGTCATGCTTGCCCCTGTCTCCTCAGGACGCAGAAATAATCAGGAGAGAATATTAAAAGGATCTTGGGTGTAATGCATTTTTAAACTTGACTTGTGTAGTCACTCATATTTCAATTAACCTTGGGTTTTATATCATTATAACATATAACATATCACGTGTTGATTGCAATGGTCCTTTTGGTTTAAAGTAACTGCTAAGACTAATGAAAATGTGCAGTCATGCTGCAAGTTACAAGTCATTGCAAAGTCATCAGTGTCCTGTTAAGCAACAAGTAATCTCTACAGTTAGAAGGATTAAATGAATACGTTTTCAAAATCATTGTTCAACATCAGACATATAAATAAACCTTCACTAGCTGGCTGAGGAAGAGTTGGATGGCTTACTAGTTAATTATCAGCAAGAATTCAGATTGCTTTTAACTTGTCACATCTCTCTCTGTAAGCTCGGTGTTTGCATGATTAAGACTCAACAAATGCTTAACTAACAGTCTGGCCTGACTAGCTGTTCAGACAGATTGCCAAGCATTGCATTTGCTTTCTGCATGTGGAGCACTAACGAGATGTGAGAAGTATGAAAAGTCAGTGCAGTTTTTGCATGTTGAATACTGCCTCGCTGGGAAAATGACAAAATGCTTTTTCACGTGTGCTTCCAGAAGGGTTTGGACCACCTTTTGAATGAGTGGCTGAAAGGTTGTGTACTGGTGGCACTGTGTTTCTGCATTTTATGTGCGTGTGTGCGAGTGCATATGTGTCAGTGTCTAAGAGCATACACGCTAATGTTGTGCTTAATGTGAACTTTTGGTCTGTGCTTTTTACACTCGTCGTGTCGGTTGAAGTGCCTTTTGCCTGTAACATCGTCCGAAAGTGCTGTAATCAGCCTCACCTATTGTGCCTCTTAGCATCCCCCTTTTACCTGCACCCGCTCTGCCCTCTCTTCATCATAAAACCACAGTTGTCCATCTGGACGCTGTACACTCTAACCTTTACACAAAATTAAAAGTGGAACTTTGTTAAGAGGATTGGTGGCCACCTGAAAACTGTGGCCTGTGCTAAACTCCCCAACACCTGAAAAAGCTTGTAGGTTTCACTAAAATGTTTCACTTTTGTAGAACAAACCTGGGCTCATGTCAAAGTGATGGGGAAAATGGACTGCTGCATACCTGCCTACACAGTTTAAAGTAACCATCAAGGTACACAATGAGGTTTTTAACATTTGTCTTATAATGGGAAGATAAAGGATCCAGAGCACTGTCAATGTATTTACTCACAAAGTCAAATCTGCAAGTCATGTGCAAATCAGTGAAATAAAAGGTTATGCTGGGAAAAAATAGACCCCAGTGTCAACATGTGAAGTGCAAACAAGACTGGACCCGAAAATGAGCCTTGTGGCACACCCTAACTAAGAGGGACTATTTTGCATCCAAAGCATAACAGATCAGCTGTCAAATACGGTAGAGGCGATACATGCCTCGACCATATTCCTTTTCGACGTTGGTTGTGTCAGATGATGCCCACAGGTCAGTTTTAGCTCGTTTTTTGTGTGCTGTAGCAGAATAAGCAGAGATGGTCATCGTGGTAATGCTTTTAATTAATCTGTTAATGAAACTGCAGTAATGTGAAAATGCATAGTTGAAATATCAATTATAAATATAAAATATTTATTTATAGATATAATAAAAGATCGACTTTTTTTGTAACGAGTCGTGACTTGTGATGAACGAAAAGAAACTAATGTTGAAAATCTCTCCCCATTCACTCAGAGTACTTTAACACATGTCAGATAACTGTCTGGTAATGTCACAAACATGACCTGTAGAAGAACTTTGGTTTTTGTCTTTATGTAAGAATCTCAGTGTATCACGTCTCCTTTGTACTTCATCATCTGAATACATTTACAAACCTTGAGCAACAGTTATAAAAGCGCTCCTTTAATTTTGAACAGTGACAAGCTTTTAACTTTTTTTTTTAACTCGTCCATAACTCTGAAAGAGCCATATGATGATGATGTAATGCCAGTCATCTATTCATGATAGGTTAACTGGATAAATTATGCCCATTATACAGTACACATTTTTATTAAATGCCAGGTATTCTTGTTATTAATAATTGTTCTTTTCTATTCATCTATATTAGCGGTTAATCTCATTTTTTACACAGTTAAATAAACCTATTACAGATATTTTACCAATCAGTAGTTAATGGAAGATGGTAAACACTATACAGTTAACTCATTATATAAGCAAAGCAAAAAAAAGTTGCAATTTTAGTTGCAATCTGAGCAAATGAAGCTCGGTCCTAGTGCTAGTTGTGAAGTCACATTTTGGTAAAATGCTGTGAGATGATACCCCGAGTATCATCTCACCCGAGTCATACATCCTTCTGTGAAGAATCTGCAGGAAAGACGAGCCAATTTATAAAGATAGTAGTTGTTGCCAGGCAGAATCACAAATTTAGCTATGACATCACTGGCTCAGCAGCCTTTTTATAAACCACTGTGGGGGAAAATCCCCCCCCCAAAACATTAGTTATATAGTGAGCTCTTCCTAGCACAGATGTCAAGCACAGATGTCAACTGAATTAGGATTGGGAAATGCTCAACAGGTTTGGGATCTAATACCCTCCTCTCTACAAAACCACTCAGAATAGTAAGGATAGAAATGTCATTATTGTTTATTTATTTAAATTAAAAATGTTTGGACATGTTCTGTTCACTCGTGGAGTTTATTTTCTGCTGCTCATACACACACTCACCATCTCCTAAATTCTTGCCACTTATCTTCATCTAGTGTTCATAAGGAGTATCGTATAAACAAACCAAAGATGACAAATTTCCATCAAATGTGACTTAATCCAGCAGCACAGGCAACCTGCTTTCACGCATGCTCATGTTCCATGTGAACACAGCGTGACACACAATTCACGCAAACAGAAAGCTAATCATGTTTTTCCACGAGGTCGACTGTCTCCGTTACAGCCGTTCGCTTCCTTGACATCGAGACCGTTCTGTTCTTTTCAGCACTGTCCCTCAAGGCTTGGCTTTCACATTTATCCTTGATTCCTCCATGTTACTTGGTGCTTGCATCAGCTGTACAGTGACACACATTTGCATCTAATTATGCCCACGTTCACCCCACTTAGGCCCGACGCAGTGGAAAGTGGTGGCCGTTGCATTTTATGTGGTCATTGCAGGGTCAGAGGAGTTTAAGCCGATGGCCTCGAGTCCTTTTATTCCCCACCGCTGGCTGCTTGTCATTTGACTTTAAGGAGTTTAAGCTCATTGTGCTGTCACAGGCATTGTAAGTCGCTCGGGATAACAGTGTTAGCGCGAGCCCTATAATGCAAATGTCACTGAGACTTTTTTCCCTTTCTTTTTAAAGATGTGGCTGTTGGCACAGGGATTGAAATCAGCTTTTTTAGAATGACATGTTGAGTGAAACTGACTTTGAAACGTTACATTTATTCTTAAAAATGTGTTTGTTAAGAAGATTTTTATTAACCCCATCCAAAAACTTTAATAAAAAATGTATATTAGGAGATATTAATAGAGGTTATATATATAAAGGGAACATTTTAGCCGAAACAGTATTTCTTTTTATTCTTTAGCATGACAAACTATAATCTCGCAGTTCTCCAAAATTCAACTTTTTCATTTGGAAGGCATCCAGGTGTTAATTTGGTGCCAGGAGTATTAATGACTCGAGGACTGTGTCTGAAGTTGCTGTTATTGTAGGCGTAGGCTAACACCTGCTAAGAATGTCGGTTCCACCTGTTGGTCACTGCGTGTGGCTTGTTTGTGCACGTTTCAAAGTATTGCGATGGATTTCGTTCCTCATGTGTGTCTGCACCCTGCATCTGTTTGCATACATGTGCGTGCTTGCGGTGTGTGGTCTGTAGTGTCTGAATCTAAATCAAAGCCTTCCTTTGAGACCTGACAGTTCCTTTGAAGGAAGCTGGAGCTGCCAGATGGCATTAGATGGACCCCACCACAGCCGGTACCATAGCGGGCTCTGGCTTTTTAGTCAGAATAAGCAGTGCTTGAGCAACGTTGTTAATGCAAGTTGATTATTCCTGTGGTAACGTTTTAGCAACAGCAGGACTTAAATGGCTGTAGTTCTAAATTGATTCTCACTTTTATCTTTTTGCGCTATGTCTATATTTACTGTCCTAAAGTTAATCGAAGCGACAGAGTGCTAAAATGAGAGTTACAGTTTTCTCTTTTGAGCGGCCAACAATTACAGCGTCACAGACA